CATCTTCTAGCTTCTGTAAAGTCATTCTCCATTGTCTCCGTTCTGCTTCGAAATCGCGCTTGGCTAACTCTAATGGAGATGGCACCACTCTCAACTGTTCCTCCACCGGCTGAATATTTTCAGGATTCACCATCGGGATATTGTCATTTACTCGACAGCTTCTCCACTGCTCGTACTCTTGAGACAACTCGAGATCATAGGTGAATAAATTCACGCGACGAGTTTGCTTCCAAGCCTCAGCAACCCCTTTAACTTTACCCTTATACTGATCTCCTTTGAATGCAAAATCCGACCCTACCAAGTCCCACGTGGCTGGAATGAACTGCCTCGATCCATACTGTCTGGAAACTAGTAGCGGTGCATACCCAACAGAACCCCATATACCTGGCAAAGGAACCCAATCTTGCTCTCCACATCGATAAAGTATATCCGAAGAGGTATTCCACGAAGCTCGCCACAAAATATCTCCATCTCTGATATCCTTGAAGATGACCATCCATTTTTCTTCAGTAAAACCCCCAGGCCACTCTTTAGCAAGAAAATCCTTCAAAGGTGAAAAACCGTCTAGAAATACTCGTCCTGGTGCTCTTTCAACATGTTTGAAATGACTCAGAATCCACACTAGCAGCAAAGGCGCACATCCTATAAATCGTCCTTCTCCCTTGCGCCTACAAGAACTCAGACCGGAACGTCTCAGCTAGAATAGCTGGAATTGGATCCACACGCTTGTCTAATCTTTCAAACAAGTCAACGACTGATACGTCTACATATCCTAACACTTTTGGAAAAATAACAAGCCCATAAATCCCTAAAGCAAACAAGTCAAGCTTCTTTCTCTTATCATGATGATGAGCAATTACTTCTTTCAGAGCAGCCCAAGAGATGCACTCACTGTCTCCCTTCTTCTTAATGTTTCTGATTACCCAATCTTCACTCATTCCGGTCATCAATAGTAATTTCTTCTTAAATGAAGGAGTGACTGGCAGCTTGGTATATACTCTATCCATCTGGGACCTCGGACAACGGACCAAAGCTTGATACTCCTCTATTGTTGGTGTTAGATCCACTCTACCAAATGTGAAACAGCTATAAGCCGGGTTCCAGAACTGTGCCAATGCTCTAAACAGATTTCGGTCAATAGAAACATCCAGAAGATAAGGAATATCGCCGTACAACTGATAAAACATATCCTTATCGGCTACTGTCCATCTTCCCCATATCTCTCTTAGCTCACTCAGATCATTCTGACGTACATTGATGTGAGTGTAACCAAATAACTCTGACACATATCCAGGCATCACGCTGTCTCCATTGGTCAACTGGGACTGTTCCGACCACCTCAGAACATCTGCATTGTCCTCAACCTCTTTCCGAACCGTTCGTTCCATATTACTGGCCTTCTATATGGACATCGACCCCAAATCAACACCATGTAATGGACAATGCAATGCAAAACAAAAAAAAAAGAAACAAGGCAAAAACAACAAAAGATCGGTTAGTAAACATGAAGCAATTAAGTCGGGATAATAATTTATTCAAAAATCCTACCCACATATGTTGACTACCCCATCATGCTTTATCAGATCCTACCCAACATGATATCTACCCCCATGCTTTGTTATCCACAAGAAATCCTAACCTCATGATATCTAATTCACATGCTTATTCAAAAAATAAACCTAACCGCATGATATCTAGTTCGCATGCATTTATTCGGAAAAACGAAAATAAATGACTCAAAAAAGCTTTTCCTTGTGTACCCTCCTCACGGGATTCTTAAGGCTCGGGTTTGGTTCAACCTAAGTTCAGGCTCTACATTCACTATATGCTGGGTTAAGTTCTAAAGTAATAGGTTCTCGAATTGTCCTTGCCGGTGCCCCATTGGGCTGCCGAACCCTCAATCCTGGCCCATCACAGGCTTTAGGGGATCGAGTTCAATTTCGAGGGAACACACCTCCTTATGTCCATGCGGAGGTGAATACCATCACGAGGACCATAAGGCGTGAGCTCCAGGGGCGATCCACTATCCCATGCGGAGGTGAAAACCACACGAGGGCATAGTCTCTCACTCCTACTTAATTAGGACGGAGCGGGGTTTTAGCTCATGTTATGATAATGCAGCTGTGCAGTGTGTGAGGAAAAGCGAAAAAACAATCAATAAAAACACTCAAAATCAATTCCCAAAACAAATAATTATTCTGAAATCATTAACAAACAGATTAGTACAACTATTTAATTGTCAATCAAATTAAATTAAAGAAATCAAAATACAAACAAAAATTATTAAAAACCAAACAATGGATCAAAAATCAAATTAAATCGAATTTATAATTTTCAATTGCAAAGACAATTAATTAATCGACTATCGGCCTAACTCTCTAAAAAAAGTCCCCAGCGGAGTTGCCAAGCTGTCGAAACGATTTTTTTCTTGAAGGGTGAAAAAGGTGAGATTTTGAAAACCACATTAATTCTTAATTGTCTCTTTTCATTTTAAAAACATATGCGATTTAGAAGACCTCTCGTTTCGAAAAATTTGAATTTCCTTTACGATCGACAAATAAGGTTCGAAGAGTCGCCACCAATCTTTGATTAGGGTGTGATTGGACACCCAAAAATGCGTTGTCATTTTAAATAAAAATTAATTTTAATTAAAACAACAAATTGAGGTCTGCGTTACCAAAATCCGAGTTCAGGAGTCGGTTACGTGTAGGGAAGGATTAGCACCCCCACAACGCCCTAAATCGGTACCTAGTCGATTAATTAACGTCTTTGCAATGAACTTTATAAATTCGAGTTTATTTTGATTCTTGATCCCATAAAGTAAAAATGTAAATTTAAAACATTCAAAAACACTCAAACAAATTAAATTAAAGTTACCAAGTCATTTTAGAAAGATAAAGAATGTTCGATTATTTACAAATATCGAGACCAGATCTTAAAGATATAACAACCTTTTCTCGATATATTTAAATAAACGAACATTTCTTTTTCTCTCGTTCCCAAATTTTAGGTGACGAATCAATTTTTTTGGTTTCACTTTCGGGATACACTTTTATTTTAAAATCATTAAAAGCGGACCTCAAATCAGTTATGACTGCCCACTTCAACAATTTTAAATTAAAAGGGTATTACCCTTAGTCCGATTATGTCGTATGGTCGAGTTATGCACAAGAGGATGTCATACAAGTTGTACAGAATGATTTCAAGAAAACTTATACCTAAATAAATACACAAATGAATAAAAATGCCATGTCAAACAAACATAAGGACTGAAATGGAATGAGCCACAAACTTTAAAGTTAAAATCATAAATTCAGCATGAATAAAGGAACAAAATTACTAACATGAAAAATTCAGCCTAGGGATTCAAACGAAACATGCAAAAACATAGAAGCAATATGCCTAAAATAACAAGAACTAAATGACACAACATTTGGGACTGAACTTAAATACACATAAAACTATGAAGATCAAATTAAAAAATAAGATACTCTATTCATGGATTCAAATGAACTAAACCAAATAAATGTATGACTAACTAGGAAATAAATCCACAATTACATGCTGGACCAAAATGTAGACTTACAAAACCGCATAGCAAATGTACAAACATAGAATAATTCAAAATAACTATGTTCAAGGACTAAAATAGAACGTGCCAATACTTGAAGACCAAATGTGCAAACGAAAGAAAATGTATACCATATCATTCAGGACTAAAATAAAATGTACATGAAAGATGAAGTCCAAATTATAAAACAAACAAGACTCGATTGGGACCAAAATGCATGAAACTGAAAAGTTAAATGGCTCAAGCGGTACATAACACAAGATCCTTAAACATCCAAACGACACCGTTTTAGTAATCTAATATATATAACACTTAGGTCTAAAAACTTAACCCTATCTTCATTTGTAACCCTCAGCGCCGCAATGCTCCCTTCTTCTCCCTCTCCATGCGCAGTTCTCACCCCTTAACCCTCTCGGCTGCTCCTCTCTTCTAACTCACAAACTCACACAGCCATCTCTCGACCACTCATCTCCTTGAACCCTGATAACCTAACATCGAGCCAACTCATTTTCTTCACTTCAAACTCCCTAAAAAACGAACACATAAGAGCCTAAACGACTTCCTCCTTTTAACAGCCGAGAGCTCAGCTTTCGATTCCGGCGACAAAGTTCCGATGAGACTCAATCCACTCAGGTAAACGAACCTTTACCTCTCTTTTCTTTTCATTTCATCATTTTTTTTTGATTTTGGATTCCCGACTGGTTAACGATGATGATGGGTTTTGAAGTTTGTTTGGTTTTTTTTTTTAAAAAACAAATCCTATCAGCGATTGTTACTAACGGATTGATTTCCTAACAGGATCGGAGACCCTTCTCCACTACTCTGAATAACCCTAAATAACTAAGGTAATATCCCTAAAACCCTTACCACTTTACTTCTCATTTCATAATTCGTCTATAAACAACATATCAGTAGACAGAGAGAAATCAATACTGAAAATAATCATAAAGCATGAATCGAAAAGAAATGAGGAAAAAAAACCTCTTGTATTGCTTTTATTGTCCTTGAACCGTAAGATTACAGTATTGTTCCTTGTCGCATTCTTCCTGTTACTCTTGAAAAATACCTCCAATTCAAATATTTTCTCTCCTTTGAATATGGACAATTTGTTTTCACGCCTTTTTCTTTTTCTCCCTATATGTGTTTTCTGTTGTTGTTGTTTTTTTTCTTTTTCGAATGGTCTCTGGTCCTCCTCCTTTTTCTCTCTGATTTCTGATGGTTAAATGCCTCAAAAAAACTGACTCCTTACAGTTTCTTAATTGCTCAAGTAGTGTTCTCCTCCACTACCGATAATGGCTCCTCTTTTGTTAACTGCCTTCTCACGTTTATTTCTGGTTTTTTTTTAACTCCCACTGCTTTCATTTGAAAATGGTAAAGGCCCCAGAAAAATTAAGCATCTACAAAGTCTTCCTTTAATTTTGTGCATTAGATTGCAACTTTCCACGCACCAGGAAGATATTTCTTGAAACCAGGAGTGGGGTTGGATAGCTTGAAGAAATCATTGTCTGAAAGTGGAAGGTACCTGTAATTTTCATTTCCAGTGGGGTTGATTTGAACAGTTGTAATTGAATTGAATTCTTGTCATTTGTTTTCATCTCAATATTTCATGATTTGATGTTCTCATCATATGACTCAGTGCAAGATTCAATAGGAAAATTACTTGAACTAAGCTTTGCCCTCTATATAGATAGATGTAATCTACTAGGAATGTATGACCTTTAAGAGAAATTATCATTTAGGTGACTGGGAGAATCTCATGTTTTCATAATATCCAAGATTAATCAATTTATCTTCTTTTTTGAGGATTTCATCATGCCATAAACAATTTTTGGCATATCATTCCATAAATCTTTTGCTTGATAATTTGGAACTAAATGTTCTTTTTAGTTTCTATTTTTTTATAGGAATAGAGCCTCATTAAAAACCCCCTTCATAACCATCAAGCTCCTAAAAACTCAATGATCATAGGAAAGAGGAAAAGAGTGCCCGAAGATTTATTACTAAACAAAAAGATACAACCAGTTCAGAACATAAAATACAACAGAAAACCCCATTAAACCAACCCCAAAGACAACCACCAAATACAATCAAAACACGAAACCTTCTACTAGCCTATGCCTGTTTTAGCTAACCTATTAGCTTCCCCATTAATACATCTGTTAACAAGCCTAGTAATAACATTGAACTCCATAACTAACTTAGCTATTACTCTAACCAAATGAACATAAAGATCTGGGCATGTCTCCGGATTGGAAATCCACTTCAACGCATTGTAGGAATCACTCTCTAGAATTAGACTCCCTTTATCCCTCCACGCCGATTTCTAAAACAAATCTAGCCCAGCATGAATTGCTTTTAACTCAGCAAGGATCGGGGGGCTTGGTCCGGTCGATCTTGAGAAAAACTCCAACCTCTTACTATCAACATCCCTAAGCACACCACCAATACCACTGCATCTCCAGACAAAATTAACAGCCCCATCAACATTAAGTTTAAAGAAGCCCGGAGGGGGGGGACACCACTGAGACTTAGTCAATACAGACCTCGAAGGAGTACGATGTTGATAAGCCAAAGTTTAGTTTCTGTTTAATGATCATCTTACATAGTTTTAAGTAAAGACGAGTACATTAAAAATTGCTTGGTGTTTCTTCTAAGTATCAAGAAACCTGGTCATTCTTTGTTTTTAGTCTCTTATATAAAAGCTTATGTACACATTATATATTGCACTATACACAGCCTTAATCTTGTTTGTCTATATTTTTTCAGTTCTCCAGAAGATAATCGTAATGAGGCTACAACTCTCGAAGAAAACCTAGGTCAGGCACTGGCTCCAGCATCATTATCAGTGGAGAAAGTCAGTCATGATGAAATGGAGGAACATACCCATTTATACCCAAAACTTGGAGAAGAATCGAATGCATTGGAGCAAACTGACATCCAACAACATTCACCTAATTTGGGTGGTGAGAGAAAAGCTTCTGACAATAGTGAGGGGCCACATTGAATAATAATAAAGTTTTACCATAAAGACTAGTGAGAGAAGCTCCTGCTTCTCTCTAGATTTTTAGGCATTTTTTACAGCTCTTTCTTTGATCTCTCTTTTTGTCTTATGATGGCAAGTAAGGTGATTAGTTCTGCTGGGAAGAATTGTTTTACGGTGATCATATTCAACATTCCAGAGCTTTTTCATCATAAAGGTCTTTGGCTGTTATTCGATAAATATGGAGAGGTGGTCGATTCTTTCATCCCTAACAAAAGAAGCAAGGGAGGAAGTAGGTTTGGATTTGTTCCTTTCACCAGTTTGGAGGACGCAAGGAAGGCTATCAGCTGTGTTGACAGATCTAGGATTCGTGGTAATGAAGTTAGAGTTTTCTTGGCCAGATTTCAACCTCGGGCAGCTTTTTGGAGAAAGAAGTTTTCTGGTTTAAAACCAGCCGTGAGCAAGAGTATAGGGAGGATGTTGGGCATTCAGAGGTTTCCATTGTGGGTTCTGTTGACGAGGACAAGCTTTCAACTTGTAGAGGCAGCTTGGTAGGGTGGTGCATAAATTTTTTTTAAGATGAAAGAGTTGGCTGCTATTATGCACAAGGAAGGCATATTAGGCCCGAAAATTATGAGGTTAAGCGGGCTAGCAGTTCTAATCATTTTTGAGGATGAAGAGAGTAGGGATTTCACGCTGAACAATCAGATGGGGGCATTGAATAAATGTTTTGGCAAAGTAGAAGTGTGGTCGAAAAACTTTCATTGCAGCAGCCGCCGGGCGTGGCTATCGTGCAAAGGGATCCCACCGTTTTTGTGGAATCCTTCCACCTTCAGAAGCATTGCAGACAAATGGGGAGAACTTATCTCCATTGAGGAAGGATCTGTGAATCCAGGCTCTTTTGACAGGGCTTTGTTTCAAATTATTACAAACTGCCAAACACGTGTGGAAGAATCCGTTGTTTTGAAAGCTGGGGATTTGTTTTTTACAGTTTTTATTTCTGAGTTTGAGCCTTGTTTCAGTCCTGATTCGGTCTGGGCAGACTCGTTCCTGATGGATGAGGCAGTTGCCTCCCCGTTCTTTTTAGTGGGGGAGCTCGTCGGTGTCTCGCCAGTTATTTCTCCCGTGGTGGAGGTATGTCTTGAGGGAGTTGGTAGAAACGTGGACTGTTCAGCTGGTAGAAACGTGGACTGTTCGGTGGAGAAGATTTCTGAGCGATGTTCTGTGGACGAAGAAAGTCTATTATGTTGTATGGGGGAAAGATTTAATGGCTGCATCTTGTCGGGTGGGGAAGTAGTGGAGAGGAACATAGGGGAGGATTATATTATGGGTTTAAGGAATAATATTGTTGGTATGGAGAAGATTTCTTCGGAATTCGAGGATGTGGTGGAGCACGAGATTGTGTTGGAACACGCGGTGAGAGAGTCAGTTTTTGAAAGAAGCGAAAGTTGTAAGTCTGCACGTGATATAGTGGGAATAATGGATTTTTTTGATTCGTCCAACTTGGATGGTCGGTTAAAGGCAAAGGTGATGAAGAACGTGATTAACATTATCAAAAAACGTGCTATTAGTAATTCTAAGGGTATGGAGGCCCAACAGGATGGGGATGTGGTTGGCAATTTGGATGGAAGAGCTAAATCGGGGTGTGTAGATAAGGATTTGAAACAGATTCTTAGAGTATTGGAGGGGAATTTAACTCTTCCCAATCCTTTGAAGATAGAGATTCGGGTCCCCAAATAAAGGCTAGATACTGCTGAACCAAGAAACAGAAGAAGGTTCAATGTGAGGGTGTTTTGTCTGTTCTTGGAGCCAGAATATGTTTCCGTTTTTTCCAACTTTGGAGAAAGAGTCTACAGCTGGGTTTTCTGCCCTCTTCGTGTGGAAGCTCCTGGATGTTGTGTTTTATTTTGGCTTCTTTGGTTCGAGTCAGCTGTACTTTTTGGTCTTTATTTTAGGAGTTTTGTTTTCTGGTGCCCTTCGAGCCAAGAGTTAGACTTTCAGTCGGGTCAGTCCTTTAGAGGCTGTTGCAGTTGATATGTTGGATTAGGTTGAGTTTTGTTGCTGCTGTGGGGGTGTTTTCGGTTGTTTTATGGTGTTATGTTTTATGTAGGGGGTCGATCTCTGGATGTATATTGGTTTTTTTATGTTTAATGAAATCATAAGGCACTATTTTCCTCCTTCCGCTGATTAAGGAGCTCATCTATAAGTCCCTCTAATCAAGAAAGAGGTTTTTAATAAGACCTTCAATTCCTATTAAAAAAAACAATAGTGAGGGGCCAGCAAATAGTACTAGTGACAGTGGCAGTGATAGTGACAGTGACAATGATAGCAGTGACAGTGGAAGCCACAACAGAGGTGCAAGCCCAGCAGCAAGTGGGAGTGGTAGTAGCAGTGATAGTGAAAGTGATGCTTCTTCCAATAGCAAGGAAGGGTCTGATGAGGATGTAGATATAATGACAAGCGACGATGACAAAGAGACAAAGCAGGATATACCAACATCTGAACCAGGACTTTTGACTTCACCTGTAACATGGCAGGCAGAACATGACAGGTCTCTGCAGAACGGAATGGATGAAAATCATGATGATGATGGATCTGATGCAGTTGATATTGAAGGTAATGGATCGGATGCTGTTGACATTGAACAAGACTTGCCTGAAGATGAACAGGAAATCGAAATGGCTGCCAACACAAACAAAGAATGTGAGAAACATGAGGAAGGAACAAAACCGTCGTCATCTGATCATGATGAATTCCAGGGGTGCCAAAATTTCATAGGGAATTTGTTTGATGACACAGAAAACATGGTTACGGATAACATAAGGAATGAACAATCTGATTACTCGGTGAAGAGCAAAGGTAAATCTAAAAGGGGATCTGATTCGAAGCACATTTATGAGAAGTCTAAGCATTCTAAAAGATTGAAGTTTGAAAGCATATCTCAGTCACTTGTCTCTGGGAGTAGAGATGCAGAGTTATTTGGCAGTAGTAGACCCATAGAGGAGCCTTACCAAAGCTCAAATAAAGGTGACAAGGACTATGCTGACTCTCAAAAGGGATACAATCAGGTGTTTCCCAGGAAATCTAGTACATATTTTCACCAATCATGTCGAAAGTCATCTGATCCAGCTGCTTGGACTAAAGCTGGTAATACAGCTGAAAGGCCTTTGAAACATACTGAGAGTTCAATACCTGGTAGTAAGTTCACTGCGAAAAATGTGCATGAAGGTTATGTCATTCAAAAAGATAACCCTTCTAGGGACACCCAAAATGAGGACGGTTTAATGAAGGGAAAAAATTCACTGACAAATCCTAAAAGTGGTGCTCGAGGTAAAGATGCTGTGCCTTCTGATTTCCAGCACATGAAACATGGCGAAACTGTTGGAAAGTCCAAGGACTCTGGACATATTTCTGGCTCCTATATTAATTATTCTCTGAAGGATAACAACAGGGTTAGTGAAGATAGATATCCGACTAATGGCAAAAGCAACGTTCTCCAACGAGAGCTTTCACATTTGGAGTTAGGTGAGATTCGTGAGCCGCTGATTGGGGAAACTCCTACCAAGAAGCAATTTGAAAGTTAAGCTTCTGTTAAACAGTCAAGTGGTAGACCAAGCACCTCGGAGAACTCTAATCCCGATCTAAGCAAGGGAAAACCTTTTGGGAATGCAAATAGGGATTCAGGAAAATCATCTTCACCTAATCTAAGTGGGCTTAGAAGAACACCAGAACATCTTGTTGAAGATTTATCTAGATCGCATCATAGGGTTGTTCTGTCTCAGAAGCAGCAACTCTCAAGATTTGACCGTCCAGAATTTGGGTCCCAGTTTAACAGATTGGCTGATAATGGTAAAACCAAGCAAACAGACACTGCTGCAAAACTGGGAGTTGGCCTGGAGGATTATGGTGAAAGCCATAAGAAAGCACCAGCCAGTTCTCCACAACAGAAGGTATCTAAACGAGGCTTAGCATCCCAGTTCATGAAGGAAAGTAAAATTCCAACATCAAATAAAATGCTGGATACAACTGATATGAGCAAGGATGTGGTTCTGAAAGAGGGTAATGCAAATGGTCGAAAGAAAAGAGGTTCTTCAGATGAAGACTATTTGCCTTATTTTAAGTATGAAAAAGATGAGCCAGAACACAAAGGACTGATTAAGGATTCATCTCATTTTTCGTTCATTTATGTGTTTGGTGGACTTTGTACTGTGTTGACTTGTTCGATGAACTAACCTCTTAATATAGGAATGAATTTGAAAAGCTGGGTAAGGACCTTGAATATTGGAAAGGTAGGGACAAGGAGAAATATTACAAGACCTTGGACCAATTGATGGAGTCTTATCACCAATGTGGAATGGTAGATATTTTATCTCTATTTTCTTTGCTATATCCTTTTTGTTATTTTTTTTGATAGGAATAGGAGGTCTCATTAAAAACCTCCCTCATAGTTGGCTCTTGTGAAAGAGGCAACTAGCGGAAGGAGGAAAAGAGTACCTCATTATATTAAAACCATGTTTACATAAGATTACATCTTACTAAATAAACTGTCCGAAATAAAATACAAACCAAAACAACCATAAAGCTCAAACATCAACCAATACACTCTTTAGCTAGCTTATCAGCCTCCCAATTGCATGTCCTAGGAATCCATCTAACAATAATACCCCTAGCAGAAACTAAGGCCTCAATTTCCCCAACTAAAGTATTGAAAAGAGTAGGGGCAGAAAATGGCATCAAAATCCAATCAACTGCTGTTTTACAATCTGTCTCAAGGATTAGTCTTCCCTTCAGAGCCCATTCGGAAGAAATGAATAGATCAATCCCTTGTTTAATAGCTTTTAGCTCAGCTAACATAGGAGGACCATGTCCCACCGCAAAAGAAAAGGTATATAAAGTAGAACAATCCGAATCTTTCAAGACTCCTATAATACCTCCCTGTAGCCCATCACCTCTTACCGCACCATCAACATTGAATTTAAAGAAATTCGGAGGAGGCGGAGACCAGTTAAGAACCTTCTCCTTATTGTAGGATTTTATAGGCAAATTGTCTGCAAGCGATGGATCCCCTACTAGTAGGTCAACTTGAATATTAACATGAGGAAATTTCGCTAAAAACCATTTAGCCAACCTAAATCTGGAAATAAAGAATAGGGATGAATTATCTAATGTCCAGTTTTCAAAAACCACTGCATTCCTAGCTTTCCAAATAGACCATAGAACAACACCTGGAATGAACTTCCAAATATTAGAACACCCCTTAGATAAGACCAAGAGCAAAGAAAGGAAGGAGGATCTTGGGGCATGACGAAGAGATGTCCCAAAACCTTAAAAATCTATACCACAACTCCTCTGCAACCGAGCATGAAAAAAAACAGATGACGAATTGATTCCTCATATTTGTGGCAAAAAGGGCATAAAACATCTTCTAGATTGACCCCTCTTTTCTTCAATTCCACTCTTACCGCCAATTTCTGATGAGTAAACTGCCATAGAAATGTTTCCACTCGAGGAGGAGTTAATCCGGACCACACCCATTTCTTCCATTGAAAATGACCTCCAGTTCTGCTTGAGATAGTCATTCTACAGGATTTTAACGAGAACAAACCATCCCCTTTCCCCGACCACCCCATAAAATCATCCACTGATTCATTCGGTGTTATGTTGTCAATCAAAAGCATTAAGGAAAGCCACTGATCCAATTCCCAGTCACAAAGATTTCTCCTTAGCTGAATGTTCCAAACCCAACCATTAGCTACAAATCCACCAAATTCAACCAATTTTCCCCTTTTGTTAGTCGACAGAGCATAGATTCTAGGAAATTGAATCTTAAGAGTAGATCCATTAACCCAAATATCATTCCAAAAATCAATTGACCTACCATTCCCCACTTGGATCTTCGAATTGGATCTCAAACAATCCCCAATCTCATCCTTTTTCTCATAGTTACTCCGAATTCCTCTCCACACCCATGAATCTTGAAGAGAAACAACCTTGCCTATAGACAGAGAGTCCATACTGACATTATGAATACAACAAATCAGTTTTTTCCATTGAGAATCTTTGTCATTTGCATACTTCCAAACCCATTTCCCTAGCAAAACTCTATTAATCATACTTAAGTCCAATACTCCTAAGCCTCCTTCTTCCAATGGTTGACAAACTGTACTCTAATTCACCCAATGAACCCTCTTCTTGTCAGATTCTTCACCCCAAAGAAATCTTGCCAATACTGAGTTAATTTTCTGATTGACCTTAAACGGAATTTTGAAAATGGAGAGGTAAAAAATAGGTAAGGAGGACAATACCGATTTTATCAACACCAATCTTCCAGCCAACGATAAAGAAGCAGCTTTCCACCCTGCTAATCTGGTGAAAACTTTATGTAAAACTGGTTCCCACAATAACTCTGAATTTTTCTTTGTTTCTATCGGAAGACCTAGATAAGTCATAGGAAAAGATCCCACTCCACAACCTGCTTCCAGTAGCTCACCAGCAATATTAAACAGAAGAGGAGATAGACTACAACCTTGTCTCAGCCCTTTGCCCATCTAAAATTCTTGAGTAGGGGAACCATTAATTAGGACTGAAATTGAAGCAGAAGAAATACAATAATCCATCCAAGAAATCCATTTGTCTCCAAAACCCATTATCTTCAATAACCTCAAAATAATTGGCCATTCCACTGAGTCAAAGGCTCTGCGAAAATCTACTTTAAAAACAACTCCTTTCCTACCTTTCTTCCTCCAGTAATCTATAGATTTATTTGCCATAAAAGCGCAATCAATGAGCTGCCTACCCGGAATAAAGGCGAACTGTAATGGGCTGATCAAAACTTTAATAACAGAAACCAATCTCCTCGATAAGATTCTAGAGATAATTTTGTACAAACTTCCAACAAGACTAATTGGTCTATAATCTTCAATAACTTCAGGGTTGAGTTTTTTAGGAATCAAAATAATGAAAGCATGGTTGACCCCATGCTCCCAACTCATTCCTCTGTGAAAGTCATCCACAAACTTCATTAAATGATCCTTCAAAACAGGCCAGAATTTTTTAAAGAAACCCATCGTGAAGCCGTCTGGACCCGGGGCTTTGGAGCTGTCCGAGTGAAACACTGCTTCCCTAACTTCATGTTCTGAAAACCGTACCTCAAGTCCATTTTTCTGCTCCTCTGATGTCATGAAATTGAGATTAATTTCCTCTACCTCCAGCGTATTTTTAGAGCTGTAGTTCTCCTTAAAATACTCAAAGGCAAATTTTTTCAGCATCTCCGGATCAGAAATTTCTTCATCAGCCACTCTCAGGGCCAAAATTGAATTCATTCTATTTCTATTTAAAGTTGTTAAATGTAAAAACTTTGTATTCCTATCCCCATCCTTGATCCACTTCAATCTTGATCTTTGTAACCAAATACTCTATTCCCTCCTATGCAGCTTCCATAATTCATTCCTGGACAGAATCAACAAATCCCTTTCTTGAATGGAAATCCCTCATTCTTGCAATTTGAATTCCAGATCATTAATCAAGTTTTCTAGTTGAGAAATTTTTTCAGAAATCCTCTTTTGAGTCGAAAAAGGCCTATCCCTGATCTTCTGCTTTGTTCCTCGAAGTAGAGAAAATAGACCCCTTCGACCATTCGCCTTCACCGTAGACAATGAATTTTCAATCAACTCAACAAACCCGTCTTCCTCTAACAAATAGTTGTATAATCGAAAAGGTTTTGGTCCCCAATTGTTGTATTCTTCTACTAACACCACAGGATTATGATCCGAAAGGGATTTTGGGAACATTTTTTGGATCATATTAGGAAATTGATTTAGGAAAGAACCACTGATAATAAACCGATCAAGCCTTACCCAAGTAGGAGACTCTCTGTTGTTGCACCAAGTATATCTTCCTCCAACTAATGGTAAATCCATAAGATTAAAATGTTGAACAAAGTATCTAAACAAATCCATGGAATGCCAGTTTTGAGCTACACCACATTTCTCCCTTGTATCCAAATAAGCATTAAAATCCCCTCCTATGCAGACTGGCAGGTTTAAACACTGCACAAAACACATCAGCTCCGTAAAGAATTCATCTTTATCCGCTTCTACTGCTGGACCATATACATTTATTAAAACACAATCAAAATTATACAGCTTGAACTTTCCTGATAATGCTATGAATCTGCTATGTTTATGTTCGGCATTGACCACAAAAACACTCTCATTCCACAAACTTATCAGACCTCCTGCAGAACCCTCAGCTGGAAGAAAGACATGACCTTTCAATAGATTACCTCCTAACCTCCTCCATAAATTGCTTTTACAAACATTCAGTTTTGACTCCTGTAAGAATAAGGATAGACGGCTTCTCTCTAGTAACGAGTCTGGCCACTACTCTTATTTTTTCTCTTCTCCCAAGACCTCTAATATTCCATGTGATTAATTTTAACTTAGACATAAAATTGACAATCATAAACTCCACATCAAACCAAAGAAACCATCAGGGTCATTGAGAAGACCCCTTTAATTCCATCCTAAAAATCTCCTCCTCTAGTAATTGCTGCCCCCCTTTAAAGGTGATCCCCAACATTTCACAGACCTCCTTAATAGCAGCA